AGTAAGATTATTTGGATAGTCATGCTAAAAATAACAACGTCAGAATAGCCGCTCAGTTTGCCTTTCATGATAGCCCAAACCATCTGCCTGAGCCGGCTGCCTTATTCTCTCTGGCCCTCCACAGTAAATTGATACAGGGATCGGATCTAGTGGCATACGGATTATTCAGACGTTGTTGTTTTTTTAGCACAACTATCCGAATAATCTCACTCACCCATTCTGAGTTTTGTTGTTCACACTATGGAACTGCATCTCTGCACATCTCTGCAAGTTATGTTGCTCACGCATGTCATAATTGCGAATAAAGATGGAGTTGATGATGCAAATGCATTTGAAGCACACTCAAGGCATGCAGAGTTTTATCCCATTTTATCCTGGGTCTATTTATTATGGTTATTCACATAGCCAAATCTTTTAGGAAAACTCGGCATCCACAGATTTTGGTATCCATAGGGAATCCTGGAACCAAACCCCAGTGGATATCATGGGCCCACTGGACAAGGAGCCGGCAAAAGATGTCACTGAAATGTATTGCTGCTTTGAGTAGAAATATGTTATGCGCAGGATGACCAGATGTCCTCACCGCAAAGGAGAATAAGCACTGCAAAATTTAGGATGTTCAAGAAAAATGGAGGGCATTACTAAATAAAAAGCTAAAAAAAATCACTCATATAAATATACATTCAAGCTTCTTAGCTGCTTCCACGCTGCAGAAATAATCTAGTTTGACACCACTTTAACTGCCATGGCTCAATGATATGGAATCCTGGGACTTGTAGTTTGTTGTGACACCAGAGCTCTCTGATAGAGAAGGCTAAATGTCACACAAATCCCAGAATGCCACACCATTGAGCCATAGTAGTTAAATTGGTGTCAAACTGGATACAGCCTTAGTCATGCTCCAGATGGAAGACATTTTCGAATTCCTCCTGGATAGAAGGTTGAAATGTAGGACAGGTCCAGGAAAAGGAGGACATCTGGTCACCCTGGTTATGCCAACTAACAAACGCCCATGAAAGCATAAAACAAAATTAAAATATATGATAATAATAATAATGAAAATAATATTAATAATAATATGATTTATTTTTAGCCCACCTATTTCCAAAGGGAATCAAGGTGGGTTACAAGCATAAAAATAAAATAATACAATAAGAAAACAATAATATATGGTGAACACAGCAGCAGAGGATGAGAATGTGTACATAATAGTGTTTTTTAAATCTCTTAAATTTGATGAAAATATCAGACAGATATTTTAATGGGAGTGGTGATGTTGTATTTGTTTTGATTTTTGGTGTGCTTTTAAATTGCTTTCAAACTTGTCTTTGATTTGGTTGTTGTCGTATACCAGGGGTAGGCAACCTTTTTGAGCTGGGGGCCGGGTTGCTGTCCCTCAGACAACTGGGGGGCCGAAGCACCAAAAATAAATAAATAAAAATAAAAAATTAAAAATTAAAAATTAAAAATATGCATGCACACTCTCTCAGCCTCAGCAAAGCCTTGGCAAAACCCCTGTGGAGATTTTGCCAAGAAAACCCCAAGAACAAGTAATAACAACAATAATCAATATCATCATGGCGGTCAGCAGCGGCGGCGGCAGGACCAGCCTGGGGCCGGTCCAAAGGTCTCGGGGGGCCGCATCCGGCCCCCAGGCCTTAGGTTGCCTACCCCTGTCGTAGACTTTGGTATCCGCTGGGGTTTTGTTCCAGGATCCCCCATGGATACCAAAATCCATGGATGCTCAAGTCCCATTAAGTACAATGGTATAGTAAAATGGCGTCCCTTATATAAAATGGTAAAAATCAAGGTTTGCTTTTGGGATTTATATTATTTTTACTATTTTCAAGCCATAGATAGTTGAATCCGTGGATAAAGAATCCGTGTATACAGAGGGTTGACTGTATTTTAACCTGTATATGAATTTTTATGAGTGTATTTTAATGCATTTATAGGTTGCATCCACACTGCAAAAATTATCCAGTTTGAGACCACTTTAATTGCCACGGCTCCATGCTATGGAATTCTGGGATCTGTAGTTGGTTGTGGCACCAGAGTGATGGGAGCTGCACAATGGGTGCTCTTTTCTGGCGCCATAACCAACTACAAATCGCAGCATCCCAAAGCATGGAGCCATAGCAGTTAAAGTGGTGTCAAACAGGATTATTTCTGCAGTGTGGATGCAGCCATAGTGTTGTATTTTAACAGTGGGTTTATGTGTTTTTTAGCTGTTTTTGTATTTTAACATGACGTACCCCCACCTCAAGCCTTGAGGAGAGGCAGGAAAGAAAGAATTTATTATTATTATTATTATTATTATTATTATTATTATTATTATTAATATACATGTATGTTTTAATATTATAACTGTGTAATATTATAAGAGCTACCTTGATGTAGTGGTTTGAGGGTTGGACTATGATTCTGGAGACCAGGGTTCGATCCCCACTGGGTGACCTCGGGCAAGTCACACACTCTCAGCCTCAGGGGAAGGCAATGGCAAACCTGTGAACAAATCTTGCCAAGAAAACCTCAAGATAAAGCCCCTTAGGGTTGCCATAAGTCAGAAGCAACTTGAAGGCATGCAACAACAATAACAAAACTGGAGAGTGTAACTTCTGGTATAGGAGCTTGTATCTATGGTGTGTTCAATGCAGCATTAAGAAAGCAATAGACTTTAAGAATTATGTTTGTGTTTTTATATGTTTAATAAAGATTACTTAAAAAAACTAAAAAAGAAAGCGAGAGACTCACCATTCATTAATGTGTTGAGATTTAATTATTGTATAGC